CTGGTAGGTCTTATTTTTCTCCTTATATTTCAGTAAAATTCAATGTTTTGGAAGATGGAGACTCGGAGAAACTTTTTATTGCTCAGAAGCACCATCTTTTTATCCAGGAGCAAACCTGCCCCTAGAGGCCTATCAGGATACACTTTGAGCATGGAGATATTGAAAATATCCAACCCAGTAACTTTTCCACATTGTCGTGTTGCCTTGTCATTTCACCAACATTGTTTCATCGTATTTATTTATTTATTTATTTATCGTGTCATCAGCAACCATTGTATTACAATTCTAACAGAGCAAAACAAACACAGAGATTAAAAAGAAAAAAAGAAAAAAAAGAAAGAAAGAAAAAAAACCACACAGATTTTGCAAATTTGGTATTTGGTTAAATGTCCTTTGACCAGTATCTGGCCACTTGGAGTGCCTCTGGGGTTGCCGCAAGAAGGTCCTCCATCGTGCATGTGGCAGGGCTCAGGGTGCATTGCAGCAGGTGGTCAATAGTTTGTTCTTCTCCGCACTCGCATGCCGAGGATTCCACCCTGTAGCCCCATTTCTTAAGATTGGCTCTGCATCTCGTGGTGCCAGAGCGCAGTCTGTTCAGCGCCTTCCAAGTCGCCCAGTCTTCTGAGTGCCCAGGAGGGAGTCTCTCATCTGGTATCACCCATGAATTGAGGTGCTGGGTTTGGGCCTGCCACTTTTGGACTCTCGCTTGCTGGGGTGTTCCAGCGAGTGTCTCTGTAGATCTAAGAAAACTATGTCTTGATTTAAGTCGTTGACGTGCTGGCTGATACCCAAACAGGGGATGAGCTGGAGATGTCTCTGCCTTGGTCCTTTCACTATTGGCTGCTACTTCCCGGCGGATGTTAGGTGGTGCAATACCGGCTAAGCAGTGTAATTTCTCCAGTGGTGTAGGGCGCAGAGACCCTGTGATAATGCGGCATGTCTCATTAAGAGCCACATCTACTGTTTTAGTGTGGTGAGATGTGTTCCACACTGGGCATGCATACTCAGCAGCAGAGTAGCATAGCGCAAGGGCAGATGTCTTCACTGTGTCTGGTTGTGATCCCCAGGTTGTGCCAGTCAGCTTTCGTATGATGTTGTTTCTAGCGCCCACTTTTTGTTTGATGTTCAGGCAGTGCTTCTTGTAGGTCAGAGCACGGTCCAAAGTGACTCCCAGGTATTTGGGTGCGCTGCAATGCTCCAGTGGGATTCCTTCCCAGGTAATCCTCAGAGCTCGGGATGCTTGTCTGTTCTTAAGGTGAAAGGCGCATGTCTGTGTTTCATCATTGTTTCATCGTAACATTCATTTAATTAATTACAGAAGTCAAAAGTTGAGGCCAAGATATCTGTGCTTTCTTTTCCACTAGAAAACAGCAAGTCATATAAGAATCCATTTTTTTCTTTTCTGTCTCATAAATCCAAATTCTTTTCCCCCTCTACCCCCAGACCCTTAAAATAGAACCTCAGTAATAATTATGGGTGGGAAAACGCTATGCTAGGAAAGTGCAAACCTGAGGTTAACAGTGTGTGCACTACCATCTTTAAGCCTTCTCAAGTAACGGCAAGATTAAATGGCAAGATATAAACAAAATCAAAGCATAATAACAAAAAATGATAACATGACTATAAATTAAACAATTAAAATAATATTAAACATAGAACATAAACAGACATTTAAAACAATTAAAACATAGAATTAAAACATCTTAATATAACAACTAAAATCACATAATCCAGAATCATAATCTGAAGCTATTCCTAATGTCAATTGCACTTATTCCTATTCCTTTCTTATACTGCTGTACTTTACTGCGCAATGGCTTGATTCCATAACCGTGTCTACCTTTTTTCTGAAGGCCAGGGGGAGAGTGCTGATCAAATTTCACTGGGGAGGGAGTTTCAGAGCCGAGGAGCCACTACTGAGAAGGCCCTGTCTCTTGTCCCAACCAACTGCGCCTGTGAAGGAGGTGTGACTAAGAGAAGGGCCTCCCCAGAAAATCTTAATCTCTGAGATGGTTCATAGGGGGAGATGTGTTCGGACTGGTAAGCTGGGCCGGAACTGTTTAGGGCTTTATAGGCTAAAACCAGCACTTTGAATTGTTCTCGGTAGTAGACGGGCAGCCATGTTTGTATTAGAGTCTCCTTAAACTGGAAATGACTTGAAGGTAGATAACCACAACATTATATTATATAATAACTTATTTGGATATGCCGTATTTTTATCTCAGCCATACACTGGATTTTTCATCAGAACCAGAAAATACCTCATTTCTTACAATGCAATTTTATTTGTCCTATATATGAGGTTCTCAAATATTAGTTTCTTCCCATCTTGGCTTCACAAGCTACTGTACAGGTAGCATAGAGAGGTGCTGTGATTCAAAGGTGCAAGGTGTGTGTCTGCTAAGTGTTGTGTATGGCACAGCCCTCAGTGTTTTGTGAGCTTTCATTCACAATTGCCATTCTGCTCTGAATATTACACAACTTTCAGAATTTGTAATGATGCTGTGATAGCTCTGTGCAAGAATTCAACAATATCTATACAGCATTTGGAATTGTCATTTGTAGTGTTAGAACTGGTAGAATTTAAGAAGTGCAATTTGTAATGCAGTGGCCATTGTGTACACTTTTGATATAGTAGATTAAAGAAGAAAAAGCATGATGAAGCAAATGGAGCTCCTATTCTGAATAGCTGCGCACAGAGGAAACAAGAGACGTGATCTGGAACACAAAATATTCACACACAAAACTGGGGCACAAAATATTCAGTACAGAAAACAAAAAGGAACCTTTTTTATTCTGTCCCTTTCCTTTTTCCAACTTCATCATAAAACGCCATCATTTCGTTGTACAGTTCTAATGATTGATATGATCGCAGTGCTGTCATTTTAAACAAAAAGTCACTTTTGTTCTAGGTATTTTAATAGATTCCCATTAAACATGTATTGCTGACTGAAATATTGGCATGAAGGGCTCTCACTGGGCTGAGACCAGGAATTAAGAAGTCAGGAAATCAGCTGCTGCATTGCAAAAGAGCCTTGTGTGACACAGGATCTCCTGATTGGGGGGATCATTACTGCTATTATGACTCTACTTGCGTAGGACTTTTGAATTTCATCTGAATGTCAGTAATAACCCTCTTAGCAAATTATCCTGAATAAAATCACAAAGGCATTTTATATAATAGGTGTTGAATTACTGGATAGATTTGCTAATTAAATACTCTTTGTTCTGCTGCAGTTGACATTACAGGGTAAGATCTTGAACAATTATTCTCAACAGCTGTACTTTGTTAAGGGAAAAATTAACCGCAAAGTTTATTTTTTTTATACTTCAAGTTGGCAGATTTTTGAAATGTGCTTGAAAAAAATTCCATCCACCAATTGGTAATGAAGAGATAAATATGCAGGTGTTTCTGTGAAATATGATAACTGCCAACTGATTTATTAATGTATTTCACATGCCTTTATAGCCTGTTCCCTAACTTGTTGGCATTCATAAGTGATTCTGTATCAGAATAGGTAATATTAATATTAGGCTTGTCATTGGAAGAATTGTACTTGCCTTGTGACCCTCTTGTAATTGGCTGGATATGGTTCTGTCCTTACAAATAACAGATAATCTCTACAGTGAATCATTTGTTTCTTCGCAAGAACAAATATATTGGTGGTTCTTGGTTTATAATTTTCAGGGAGTAAGAAACCCGATGAAATTCACGGGGTCACCACAGGTTAACAGGGAACTGGAAAGCACATAGCCACATGGACAGAAATAAAAACAAAATTGTCTGTAGATCCTTTCGCTAGAATAGCTATGCATTCTTTTTATTTTCAGTTCTTGTTATACTTTTTCTAATAAGCATAACCTACACTTTCTATGTATTTTAGAAACGACAGCATGGTGCAGATTATCTTGGTTAAAGATCGAAATCTTCATATTTTTGTGTGTCACAAACATTCCGATGAGGTTGGGTGATATCCTCTGTTAGAGGTGAAGTTATTGATCAGTGTCTGTTTCAGGAGAAGGATTAGTTGTTCTAGCTGTTCCAAGCAGGAAGACATATTTAAAAATACTAATAATCACTTTTCAATTATTTCTAGTGTCACAGTTCTAAAAATGGTCACCACTGTTATGATTGCAGAGTATTTGAAAGTGTTACTCTGTACTCTGTTGGTTTCTAGGAAAGTATCAATAAACAATATGACAAAACCTGGAAGGCCTTCCTATCCTGGTGAGGCATCTTGGGATACAGATTCCTTCATGATCAGCACAAGAGTGATACTCAGTTAATCCACAGGAGACTGTGGAAAGAGTCTGTTGTGGAAGATTGTAGTGTCAGATACTTGTGTTCAGTCATATCTTAAGTTATAAAAGTATTTTAGAGTAAGTTCATCATGATTGACATAGAATTACTGTAACATTTCTTCTGCTTGTGTGGCTTCTTTATGCTGCCAGCAGTGTTCTGGTTTCTGAAAAGTGGTGGACATTCCAACAAATCAAATATATGAAAGTACTACTACTTCTGTGAACCTTCTAATCTGCAGCTATCAACCTATCAGATGGTTAAAGGATCATACGTTCTTTTTTGATTAGAGTATTTCATTGTTTTAATAAGCAATAATTGAAGCATAGTTACAGTGTATATTTAATTAACCTTGCTTCATGCTGTCACATATACTTGCAATAATGCAAATTACTGCTGGCTATAGATAGTAAAAAGTGTCTTTGCAAGTGTTAATGAATTTCTTATTTTACTGAAAGTTCCTTTTCTTTTGTATGTATGTCTGTAATTTGCACTAAATCATATAGATGCAATATGTCCTGTTAGATGGAAAAAGTATATTACCAAAAAATGTTTGTAATTGCATCCTATTCTGTTTAAAAACACATTTTTTCAGGATTTAGTAGCACATCTGAAACCTGAAGTTTATTTCTTGATTGATACATTTTGCACGTAGTAACTTTGTAATGTGATACCATTACAATCAATCTTTTCCCCCCAGATTTTGATGCATACCAAGGAGATGGTAGAGAAGGTAAGAAACACCATTACCATTATACAAGAACCCTTAAATTACATACTTTTTTCAATTGCTAGAAAATTGTAACTTAAACAGAATTGAAATAATTTCTCAGGATGCATAGTTTGTAGATTTAATCCTTGTTAATGGATTATAGCTCTCTCCCCCACTTTTGGTAAAGCAGATGTGATCAAATCCCTGCTTGAAGTCTGTATTTGAGAGTTGCAAGCAAATTAATAACAGTGCTAATTAGAGTTTAGTCACAGGGCAGCCACTGAGTGTTCTAATTTTTTCCCCTGGGACTGATTTTTTTCTTAATGTCCCTTATTCTTTTGCAGACTTGCATTTTTTGATGATGTGGTTCTTTCATTTACTGGTTACCAATAGGTTTTAAAAATATACTACAATAATAGGGCGATTCACATATAATGCCAAACTATGTCTTGGCGATGTGACATAAGCAAGATGCTTCTATAGTTATTGGATTTTGAAAAAAATGTTCAAGTTGTGGATGGTTGGATTGATGGAAGCAAAATCCATGAATACGTAGCGCTAATTGTACTCCCTCATACCTTCCTTCTTAGACTAACTTTTCTGGTATGCACTTTCACTTCAGAATCTTCTGCATACTCAGCAGAAACCATCACTTGACTATTATGGTATAACATTTTTGGGGATAGTTCTGCAAACCTTTGGTTTCCAGAAAACATACTGATATATTCCTGTATTTATAAAGGACCATCTTGGAAGATAGATTTGTGATTGGTGTGTATAAGTACTTGCTAATGATATGATACATCCTTCAATAGTTTTAACCTGTGTTATGTTTCCCCCTCTCCTTCCAAATGTAGATGAATCTGGAAGTCATTTATGGTGATACAGACTCTATTATGATCAATACAAACCTTGTTAATCTGGAAGAAGTCTTTAAACTGGGAAACAAGGTAAATGTATGTTAGACTTTGTAGCATCAGTATAATTCTTGATGAAATGTTTTGGGTTTTTTTGTTTTTAAAATTCTCCTTGCAGTAAACAGTGAAGTTGTTAGCACCTGCAATTTTTAGATTTGGCAACCAATACCAATATTTTTTTTTCTAAAAATGTTTTTTTCTAAAATTAGTTTGAATTAGTTTGTATCCCATTGTTTCTTGAACTCTCCTGAGTAATGTATGGTTTCCTTTGTTCCTTTAAGTCAGTGGTTCTCAACTGACTCAACTGTGGGTTCCCAGATGTTTCGGCCTTTAACTCCCATAAATCCTAACATCTGGTAAACTGGCTGGGATTTCTGGGTGTTGTAGGCCAAAATACTTGGGAACCCACATGTTGAGAACCACTGCTCTAAGTGCTAAAGGGATTCAATATATTATTATAGGTGGAGTTTTTGAAACATGCCCTGTAGTTACTGTATATACTTACCTATAAGACTAAAAAAAAAAACAACTAAAAAAACCCCTAGGTTGGCTTATCCGGGGTTACTGGTGGAACCAGTAGATGCTGATGCCAGTGTGATCTGAAAAAGGGGAAAAAACATCCACTTTATTAGGAACCCAATATGAAGGCTTAAAAAATAGGCAGAGGTGTGAAGCCCGTCTTGGTATTGTAGAGCATGGAAGCAGCACTCCCACCCCATTATCCCTACTTTGGCCAAACTGGAGAAAGGGCTGCTTCCCTTCTTCCTACCCTTCTTTTTCAGCCAGAGCAACAGGATTAGGTATCATGGGGAAGCTCAACGAATGTGGTGCATGCTACTTTGAGCTCTTGAGATACAATGTGGTAGTAGCAGTCATTGTTCGTAAGGGCTAAGCCTCTCTGCGTACTTCCAAGCTTCAAAAGGCTTATACTGCAAGTTCCTATTAAAAATAGTCCTGTGTCTTTAATCAAGACTGCCAAGCTCCACGAGGCTTATACAGTAAGGCCCTATTAAAAATGGTGCCCAGTCCCTAATAGAGACAGATTGTTTCCTGTGCTCTTCTCCTCCAACACCTTTTTCTCAGGCCACATTCTCATTATTTTTCCATATTCCTTTCCCTATCTGCATTGTAGACAATTAAAGATCAGCAATGCCATTTATATGATCCATCTCATTGTAGCCCTTTGAAGAAACAGATTCTCCCCTTCTCTTTAGGTCTTCCTATGTATGTTCCCTCTATGCATTTTAAAAGGAAATGTAATGATTTATTTGTTTTGCTCTTGATGCATAATAAAATGCATAATTTTGGCCTAAAACCTGCCCTCAGTTTGTACATATCCAGTTAACACAGGTATATGCAGTACTTTCCAAAGTGATAACTTTACAAACCTATACTTTGCAACAGATGAGACATACCTAAGTTTTAATGTGTCTGCATTTTTGATCTAACAAGTACATCTTCCTGTTTCTGGATGACATAGTAAGTTAGAAATGCAAGAAAATACCAGTTTTTTCATACATAGAATTTTCTGATAAGAGGGGTATGCAGTTATGATGGTAAATTACTTTTCTCAGGCTGAGAGAAGTAGTCCATCTAAGCTATATATGTCAAACACAAAGCCCATGGGCCGAATGTGACCCACTACATCATTTTATGCAGCCCACAAGGCCAGTGCAACATAGTTAATTTTTATACAGTCTTGCAATTACAACTAGCCCTTTGAAGGCAACCATAAGGTGCCCTTCAATGAAAATGTGTTTGACACCTTTAATCTAAGCTCATGAGCGATGTTTATATAACATGATTGTGTTTTTAAAATCTTCCTATAAACAGATAGGTAAAGTCTTGGGTAAGATAATGTTATGTTCTGTACCATGAATTCCAATTTTAGTTTAACCATTTTGTTTGTTTGAGTAATTAAAATATTTCTCTTATTTTCTCGGAGATATTCCTTGACATTAGGATGGTAGTTTTCTATGTGGATCAGAGGTAGGATTTACACTTGATCAGGGAAAGGTGATTATTCTCTCCCAGTTCCTTGCAACAGATATTGCCACTTGCTATTAGCAAAGCTGTATGAAATACTTAAATGTATTTAAGACCAGACTAAGCTGAAGAATCCAATTCTTTGGCTTTTTTGAAGAGGGTCAAGATAGCTTTTCTTCAAGATCTACTTAAGCCATTTGCTTTCTGGACCTTTTTTAAACAAAAAAACAAAGGCAGATTTGACCGGACTGTCTTATTATAACCTCTCCATTGTCTAGAAAATAAACTTCCATTTCTGCTGATTAATACCAAGGAGGTTCTATGGCAGGCCTGCACAACATATGGACTGCAGGAGAAGGAATTCCTTTTCAGGTGGATAGTCTATGTACATATTAATTGTTGCAAGACTGATGTCCAGTTGAAGCAACAGTGGCATTTGGTTGGAAATCCTGAGGGCAGATTTTAAACTATCCTCTTACTAATCCATCTTTTCAGCGGAACTTTACCTTGAATGGCCTTGCTTGTTGTATACATTATGAAGCGCTCTGATTGCCATCCTTACACTTAAAAAGAAAATGGGAATTTCTCTCTGTAACTTCCTGCTCTTGGAATAGTAGCAGTGACATTCTTCTCTTTCTATAGTTCAGAAGATGTCAATTTACACTTTAGGACAATCCATTACATGTGAAAGATTACCTGTGATGGTTTTCTTTGTTTCTTTTTGCTGCCACTTTTTATACATCTCAGTATATTTCTTCCTGTCTGGTATTGATGGGAATTTATGCTGTACTTCGGATTTCTCCAGGAGTTCTTACTTTATCAAGGTAGACGCAATTTTAAAGGCTTGAGTGTTTACCACAAAGCATACCTTTTGCTGTATACAAGTAGCTGGCATATGTGGTTGAATGTAAAGACCCTCCATGGACAGTTTTGGAATCAACTTATTTGGCACCCCATTTTATTTGGAGCACCTCAGATTTCCCTCCATCTAGGAAAGAAAAGCATAGTGCCTCTGCAGTTTCTGTAGGCAAGGTGGTGTGACATATCATCTGTCTTCAACTACAGTTTAATTTATGGCTTTAAATTCACTTTATGGATGAACTTGATTTGAAAGGCGAATGCCTTTTTGTAAAAGAAATGGACTGATCATAGAATATAATCATGATGGCCAGAGTTTATTTTTTTCTTTTTTTTTATTGCAGTTTTCAGCATTTGAATCTACATATTGTTTGCTTTTTGGTATGCTGTGGCAATACATTTAGTTAGGAAACCTTATAGCTTTTCCTGCATGGCAGGGGGTTGGACTGGATTCTGTGTGTCAAATTCAAAGCCTGTGTCATTGTATGTGGTCCTCCAAATACAGGACTACACTCCTATATTCCTAATCATTAGACATAATAACTAGAGCTGATGGGAGCTATGATACAGTAACATTTGCAAGGCTGTAGTTCCCCCCCCCCCCGCTCTCTGTTTAGTCAAGATAGTGGGGTTTGAATTTAGATACAAGGCTTGTAGATATGATTTCTGATTTTAAAATGTCCTTTAACCTATTCACTATCTCAGAGCCATAAGTGCTGTTGGGTTGCAATTCCCATTGTCCTCAGTGAGTGGATAATTAAAATTGATGGGAGTTGTCATTCAATAACATCTGAGGACCCAAATTTGTTATAAACTACAGAGCACCATCCACTGTGTAAACACATCATAGTTGGTTCTCTGTATCCACGTATTTTCCATCTGTGTATTCAACAGGTCTTTGAAGGCTGATGTGGCCCTGAATGAAAATGAACTTGATACCCCTGCCTTACTGTATCCATGCATGGGCTATTGCTTCTTCTGCGTGGTACTGTGAAATCCACACCTGTGGTATTTCCCTGCGTCCACGCAGCTGACTCGGATCTTTCTTGAAAGCTTTTCCTAATTAGGGACTCCAGCCCCGCCCATCTACTCCTAATAAAGCCAGGCAGCGGGGCTTGGAGCCTTAATTCCTTTTGTCCGCGAAAGTGCCAAGAAGGAGACGGCTTTTGGGAGAGCAGTACTTTTTTCTGCACTAGCATGACACCCACCATCCGTGGGACTGCTCGCTAGTCTACCACAGGTGTGGATTTCACAGTACCACGCAGAAGAAAGTAGGTTGCTTACCTGTAACCATGTTTCTTCTAGTGGTTAACTGTGAAATTCACACAACCCGCCCATCCTCCCCACATTCTGTCATGCCTTTTATCTCCGACTGTCTTTCGCGGTACGGAATTAAGGCTCCAAGCCCCGCTGCCTGGCTTTATTAGGAGTAGATGGGCGGGGCTGGAGTCCCTAATTAGGAAAAGCTTTCAAGAAAGATCCGAGTCAGCTGCGTGGACGCAGGGAAATACCACAGGTGTGAATTTCACAGTTAACCACTAGAAGAAACATGGTTACAGGTAAGCAACCTTACTTTCTGAGTGCTTCAACCACTCTTGCTGTTTTATATAAGTATTGAAACACACAAACTGTAGGTGTTGTTTCTAAATTCGGGGAGTGCACTAAATTTAAAGTCAATGAAAATGAAATCAAGTGACATAAGGAAACATTTACAAGTCAAGCATTGGAAAATTGCTGTAGCCTTAATATTTAGAACATTTTACATTTAAAACTGCATATCATTCAGCAAAAGTACTGAACACACATGACTGTCCTTCGTGTAGTCCAACATGGACCCTTCCTAACAAATTCCAGGTTTTCTTTCTCAAGGTATATGTTGATGAATGCAGGAGTCTTGCAGCTTTAGCTTTTTCCCTGATACCTTATATAAGTTCTAAAATATTCCTGGCATGATGGTGTTTACAGTAGAATCTAAGGTGGCCACTGACTAAATCCTGTGTTGTTCAAGCCATTTTTGATTTGCAGAAGAGCAGAATGAAGAGATTCAACATAATCGGGAAGCAGGCTCTCAGCTTATTAAGGTTTCTGTGAGAGCATTGTTCATTGCTGATATCTCTCTTGACACATCCAAATTAGCAGCTGGCTCAATACCCTTAAATTTTATTTCTAAACATGATTTTTGATTGAAGCCCTGGGACACTGAGATCTTCTTAAACCTGCAGACATAGCTATAATTTCAGCCTGAAATAAACAGTTGCGAGAGAGCAAATACGCATTTATGAAGGTTGTATCTTGCCATTTTTTCAAGGTCATGTGACAAGGTCAAATGGCAAGATACAACCTTCATAAATGCTTCCTAGTCTTTTTGGGCCCTAGAAGATGTTTGTTGTGGAGGTAACATTTCCTTCCATTGGAGTTCATAGGCAAGGCCAAGGGAGTTTCTTTGCCAAGAGGGGCCTGCTGTCTCAAGTTGCCTAATGACCGAATTAATTAAGTTGGGCTGAACTGAAGTCTCTATAAGCCCAGTTTTAGGTTACTCTATTTCCTCTTCTCACTCCTTTCCCTACATTTCCTACCAAAGAGGTGGAGGATTATAGCATATCTTGAAAGGAGATGGTTTTCAAACAGCCAGGCATTCTTGCTCTACCTAGCTAAGACTGTACAGCATCAGAAGAGTTTGAACCTTTGGTTTTGAAGCTGGCTTCTTGAATTAACCTTAGGTAATGTTAATTCTGGATCAAAAGCAGACTTCATCAGCATAGAAATAGAAGTGAAGGTGGGAGCATGAGAAGCCCAGGTTGTTGTTCCTTGTGCACTTCACACTAAACCTGGCATTGACAAACTTTGGCCCTCCAGGTATTTTGGACTTCAACTCCCAGAATACCCAGCCAGCTTACCGGTTGTTAGGAATTGTGGGAGCTGAAGTCCGAAGTTTGCCCATGCCTGCATGTGGCCTAACTGCACATAAAGCTTTGTAGTATGCTGTTGTCAGTATGCTAAGAACTACCTTTTTGTAATGATGTAGTTGTTGTTGCCCCAGATGGAGTTGCATTGTTTTGCAGAGCATATTTCTCTCCTCTGATTAAATGCAGGTTTTTGTTTTTATTGATGATATATTTATAGATAAAAAGTGAAGTGAACAAGCTGTACAAGTTATTGGAGATCGATATTGATGGGATCTTTAAGTCCCTTTTACTACTAAAAAAGAAGAAATACGCTGCTCTGGTTGTGGAACCAACAGGAGATGGAAAATACATTACCAAGCAAGAACTTAAAGGACTGGATATAGTCCGAAGAGACTGGTGTGATCTTGCAAAAGAGACTGGAAAGTATGTTGTTACTTTTTGGCTTTAGCTCTCTCTGCATTGTTGAATATATTTTTTGAACAATGTTCTCAAAGAAAACAAATGTTTCCTCCCAAAACTGATCTAAATCCACAATAATCCTATTAAACTTGCAATCTTTGTTAAAGTAAGGTATATATAAGTGCAAGATACTTCAACATAATTTCAAACAAACCAGGATTCATAAGTAGACCAAGTTTAAAAGCTATATTCCAATCATGTCTTAAAAGCTATATTCCAATTACTGATAAACAAATTTAGGATCATTCTGTAAGTATGAATAATCTTGTTTCTTATTTGCTGGGTCTCAAAACTGTGTTTGGGAAATATTCCATCTGTAATTACAGAGGAAGTGAATGTGTGCTGCAAATTTCTTAAAGATTTGTTTCTAATCTTCTTCACTTTTTTAACAGTTATATAATTAGCCAAATACTTTCCGACCAATCCCGAGATGTAATTGTCGAAAATATACAGAGGAGGTTAATACAGATTGGAGAAAACGTAGTAAATGGGAGCACTCCAATAAAACAATTCGAAATCAACAAGGTAAATTGTATTGTGTAGTATTATTGTTCCAGATTCTGTTTGAATGTATTCCATGGGCCTCTACTTTGTTCTGTGTCTTGTTTACAAGGAAACGTATCTTCTTTTAGCTGTTCAGTTTTGTTCAGAGTACTTCTGAAAATATTTTCCAATTCTGAAATAAAAGTAGTAGGATAATATCATTATCTTACCTCGACTCAATCCTTCGCTCACCAAACAAGCTTGGATAAGGCAGGGACTTGTACCTTCTAGGAATGCCCTGTGCCCTTCATGTTAAACCCAAGTAAAATACTTTGGACATGCCTAGATTTTACACACACTTTAGGCGTGACTATATTTGAATAGAAAGAGATATATAGACTCTTATGTAGGACCAGCAAAATACCATCATGGTGGGAATTTTAGGACATATAAAAGGGCGTACTACAAACAGAACTTTTCCTCAAGATATGGCAATGGCCAACAATGCAGAAAGCTTGAAAGGGGGATTCTGTAGATCAGTGGTTCTCAACATGTGGGTCCCCAGTTGTTTTGGCCTACAACTCCCAGAAATCCCACCCAGTTTACCCACTGTTAGGTTTTCTGGGAGTTGACAGCCAAAACATCTGGGGACCCACAGGTTGAAAACCACTGCTTTAGATGGATGGACTATAAGGCTTTCAGAGTCTCTTGAGTACCAATTTCTGGGGAAACAACATCAGGGTTTTGCCTTTGCTCTGTTTTCAGTGTTTCATAGTAACTGGTGGGATACTGTGAAATCAGAATGCTAAACTTTGAGCTTCTGATCTGACCCAGAAAGGCTGGTCTTACGTCCTTAATTTACCCTACTTTCATAGAATGCCAAAGTCTTAAAGCTTAAGACAATGCCTCTGTGTGGGTTTAATGAACTGGTATCTGAGTCAATGTTGAGTTCGTCTCCTGACGCTTTGCTATCCATCTAAATCTCAGGCTACCAGAAAAGAGATGCACAAGTACAGCCAGATTTACCATGCTACTGAATGATAAGAATATTTTTTAGAAGATAATTTCTGTCTTGTAATGTTGAAGTGACTTACAGAGTGCTTGACTTGGATATCCTCTTCTCTGATCTATAGGCATTAACAAAGGATCCTCAAGATTATCCAGACAAAAAGAGTCTTCCTCATGTGCATGTTGCTCTGTGGATCAACTCTCAGGAGGGCAGAAAACTGAAAGCTGGAGATACTGTATCATATGTTATCTGCCAGGTAAACAATTTCTAATTCTTTTTTTCTAGATAACATCCTTTGCTTATTCCTCTTAACAGTAAACTTAAACCAATTTTAAAGTAATATTATTTATTAGTACAATAATTCTAGCTAAATCCTGCTTGAGGTATATTGTATCCACAGTACTGCTATTGGACTTTACTTATAGATCTTTTTTTAAGTGAGAAAGCTTCCACTACTTACATCAGAGTGTTAACTTGACTTCTTTTATCTCTTCTGTGTATAGGATGGATCAAATCTAAGTGCCAGCCAGAGAGCATATGCTCCAGAACAATTGAAAAAGCAAGAAAATCTTGCTATTGATACTCAGTACTACCTGTCACAACAGGTTCATCCAGTAGTGGCTCGTATTTGTGAACCCATAGATGGAATTGATTCTGTCCTTATTGCGGCATGGCTTGGTAGGTTATTGTGGCCCAACATTTATTTTTTCAGTTATTTATTAGCAACTATTGTTTTGGTTTGTGTGTTTGGAAGGATGGAAAGCAGATTCTGGATTTGCTTCTTTTCAACCATTATAAGAATATACTTTCCAAACTCATTAAGGGTATGACTAGGAAAACCGAAGAAGAAGAAATAATAAGTGTACATCTCTTTGATGTGACTCTCATCCCCTTTTTTCAGCCCCCTTACACCACCTCATTGTATTTTTAAAAACAACAGTGAAAAATAGGCTGAAGGCCTCCTCTTAGTCCTGACAAAGCTTTGTAAAATGATTGAAAACCTAAAGATAAATGAATAAATAATTATGATGATGACATGGAAACTGTAAATAAAATTTCAGTTACTCCGAGGCCGAATTCTGTCTGAAAAACTGTCATTGTGGCCTACCAAAGAGGCAAAATTGGCCTTTACTGCACTAATCCCCTCCTGCTTTAATAGTTCTATTCTAAAACTTCCCATAACCTTTTCTATTATCTTAAGCAAAAGTACAAAAGAGGTTTTGGGGAACATGTGTCAAGTGCAGTTGAAATTACCACTGTAGTTTTACTCTGAGATTCTGTTATTGATAACACAATGCTGCTTACTTTATTAAATTAGCTGTTTGTACACTAGTGTCTCAGTGGTCCACAATGCAGCTAATAGTAGGAGCTGAAGCTCCTACTTTTAATATGAAATTAAAATGTAACCATAATTTTATGCTCTGAAGCATGTGCAGCATTTTACTTTACATGTAGAAAAAATTATGGGACCTGACTTACTATTCTTTTCCATAAACCTTAGGGTGCAGAATCCTCTGTCATTCTCTTCATTAAAATGTGGAGTCTTTGTTCAGGCCAGAGGGAAAGGAATTATTACTAGTAATAAAAAAATAATAGTTTGAACCAAGCCTACTGGCTTAGAAGTCACTATTTCAAGAAGACAGAATTGTCTTTCCATTTTAAGGATTCTGTCCATACATGATGTAGCATTAAATGATTTTAGTTTCTCTTTGGAAAAACAGAAAGCTTTTGCTTCTAGTTTTCATTTTCTTTAAGTTTCCTCATTGTTTTGGACTGGAGAAACTGCAATTAAACTTAATTTGTCTGTATTTCAGGACCAGCTATATATTTGGACTATATGTTAGCATGTTTCAGATAATGGAAGAGTGATAAAGCATTTCTTTCAGGAGGTTCTGTGGAGAAATATTAAGTCCAAAGAATCAGATTAAGGAGCAGTCATGGTGTACTACTTGCTTTCATTCTTAATAATAATAATAATAATAATAATAATAATAATAATAATAATAAATTATGTATAGACCGCCCTCTCTCCCTGAACGGACTCAGAGGAGTTTACAAGAAATAACAAAAATGGCAAACATTCAATTCCACAAAACAAATAATCAGCTTTCAAAGCAAAACATATAATAAAATAAACTCAATATAAATTATAAACAACCAAACCGATGACTAAACTAAATAAACATCAAAAACACAAGAAGTAAAACCAATTAAAATGCAATACGTCAAAGGCATAATATAGTGTATTGCATCATCAGGCTAAAATAAGTGTCCTACACTATCAAAATAGCACTATGGGATAATTCAGTGGTGACAGAAACCAATGGGTGGGAATGGTATGCCCCCCTGTTAATGCTGGCTAGGGCTGCTGGGAGCTGTAGTCCTACAGTGTTTGGAAGGCCACGCAGTTCCCACTCCTGTGGCTTATCTTTTGCAATAAAGTTTAAGGCAGCTATCTTTGGAAAAGAAAAAAAATCCATGACATTACAAAATAAATCAGTAAGATATTGCTGGATTCCCATAGCTTCCTTATGAATATAATATAATATATAAATCTTTATTTATATCCCGCTTTTCTCACTCACTGGACCCAAAGCGGCTTACAACATATTACAATTATGTAAACAACCATCCAAATACATCAATAATAAGTATAAAACATCATAAAATAAACAGCTTAAAATAATAATATACATTCACATTCTTGTGGCATCATGTCAGATTATATTGCACTTTGTTCCAGTCCATAACATTATGGTGTTTCTTATCACTCCAGATTAGTTTTCTTCACTAAAGGCCTGTCTAAACAGGAAAGTTTTAAATTAGTTCTTGGGAGAAGAAAGGGAGGGAGCTGATTGAATTTCTTTTGGGAAGGTGTTCCACAGAGACTGGGTAGTCACCAGAAATGCCCTGTTGGAAACATGTTTTGATCCTATAATATAGTTTGTTACCATTCCATGCTCCAGGTTAGCAGGGAAAGTCTCAAGTGAGTTTACTAATTTTATTGGTCTTTGAACTTTAAACAAAATTTGTTTCTGTTAGAATTAGATTGCAATAAATGCAGCTTTTAAATGTTTTATTTAAAATTATTTGGCTAATAGGAAAGGTTGAAAAGGCTGAGTTTTTGTAGAATTAGTAATCACAGTCCAGCAGCAATGTTTACCAAAAGGAGCATTTTAAGTAAAATGTTTTTTTGGAGCAGAGATTCAGATTGGAAGCCTCTAGGTGGCAGCACTAGACATGACATCCCTTGATTTCTGGAGAACTTCAGTGAATTAGATGCAAGGTGATTAACTTTGAAATTTGCCGAGATTTCAAATATATTTGGAAAAGAGATTTGCAGCCTCCCCCCCCCCCCTTATGGGCGGGATACTATCCCGTTTATTGAAATAACTAATTTTAGTACATCCAGCTCTACCAACTCTTTTCTTTTTACTAGGGCATTTTTAGGGAGATGGAATTACTGCAAAGCTTCAAATATAAATGCTTTAATGATTGCAGTTATTATAATATAATAGCTGTAACTTTGCATGTTTTCCAAGCTGAAATCAAAGCTTTATTAGGTGGGTATTGCTGTTAATAAAATGAAATGGCTTTTAAAATATGGTGTGTAAGAAACATATACACACAGATTTCTTGTGTCTTGTGTGTCTCTGTATACTTTGAGGAATAATAACTACTTAATTATAAAAACAGTGAAAACAAATTGACCAAATTTTGAAATGCTTATACAGTTACAAGAGATATTAATTTGATTCAAATGTGATTGGGGTACTTCCTTGTCCCAGATCGAGATCTGAACTGTATTGCTTGGTAATTTTTTTTATCAAAAAAATTAGTGCTGACAAAGTTGGTAATTCAGTGCTCAAAAGTGGATTAATTAACCCAGTTAATTTGTCTCTGAAAAAAACAAAAAAAATATTAATCTAGACATTGATTTAAAAATAGTACCATATTGCATCGGGACCATAGTTGTTGGATTTTTAGCCAATATATTATTCATGCTAAAGCGAAACCTGTAAGAATTTCTCTTGTTTGAGCCCCAATGACCCTTGGTACAAATCTGTATCTAAACTTCTCATTTTTGGAAACAGAAGACAAGTCCCTGCTGTTTGTTCTTTGAGTTACGATATTGTTAGATAATGTATAAGTATAGTAAACTCACACTGCAGTTTAATGAAGTAGTGTTGCAAGAAAGAATTAGTTAAATCTGTTAAAATTACACTGGTTTAAAACCCGAGGTCTGAAATCCTTCTCACCCAAAATAAAATTTTATACTTTCCAAATGACAAATAATATAAAAAGTAAGCTATAAAAGAAAAGCAAGGGAGCGGGAAGGACCATTCAAAATTACTTTAAAAATACAATACAAGAGAATCCACCCTTTCTCTAACATGAGTATTGTTTTCAATAATTTTTCATTTCATATTCATTTGCTTTAATATATGTAAAAACTTTTTTTCATAAACCTGCACTCTGAAAATGCAAGGTATCATAAATAGTTCATGACTGGAATTTCTAGCCATCTGTGAAAATACTGTTTCCGTGCATCTGAATTAGATAATATTTTATGGCAATGACCTTCTAAAATGCCGAGAAGCTAAAATAGGTATCGCTTCTCAGACTTTCCATCAACCACTCCAGAATAGTATCAGAAGTCATACTGGTATGTATACAGACAGAGTACATTTGGATTGCTCCTTCAAAGACAGTATGGGTCTTGCAATAATAACGAATGGATGCAGTCGTTTTAAGATAACCTTTTGTTCTTTACACCCATTATATTGCTCAAAGTGAATAATATAATTAGCACCCTTATTGTTAAATTAGAAATCTTTAATAAATTATTTTACCAATCTAGCTTTAGATGGGAATTTTTTTGCTTCTATAATTGTTTGTGATGTATAATAATTCTAATAACAGTCAACCAAATCTGTTTTCTTTATGATTTTCTATCAAATTAGTAACCTTTATTTGCCGTCTTAGATGTAACCTGCTGCTTAAAATACACATTTGTATAATAATCAATAATTGTGGGTGGGGTGCCATTCCTGCCTGAGTTGCTCACATTTCTTAAACTTTCTGGGTTCTGGTAACCAGAAGTGCTTTCTGTCTTCAATTCTGATTTTTAAATGCTGCTGCTGAATTTTAACGACTGCATTAGATTGAAACTACATGCTGTTAACCACTGAGCCAAAATGAAATCGACCACTGCATTGAAGTCTGAGTTGGCAGTTGTATACAGTCTTGAAGGAGTGGGTAATAGCAGTGCAACCAGGTTTCTTTTAATGGGGTTTTTATATCCTCTCTTTCATTTTAATGATGCCATTCTGGTTTAAAGACTTCCCTAATAAAGATGCACAATTTTATTCAGATATTCTCTGTGTAACTTTAAGAAAATAGCAATAAAGCTGTTCTCTAGGAGTTGCATCTCATAAACAAAATGTTCTATTGCATACTCCCCATGATAGATAATGCATTGTGATTGTTTTATTTATAAAGCAATTTTGTGTGAAAAGATAAGTAATTTCTTCATGTTACTCAGATCTTCATCTTAGGTTAAAAATGGGAAAATGCTTTTTTTTAAAAAAAAAAAAAAGCATTTCTTCCTCGGGGTTTGATTTTACTTTGGGTTTTGCAACTCTCATTTGAAGGTGATGTGTCAACTCAGAAGAATTGCTTCCATTGGACTTTGAATTTATATTTCTTATTAATAGGGCTGGATCCTTCACAGTTCAAAGTATATCACCATTATCATAAAGATGAGGAGAACGATGATTTGCTTGGTGGCCCTGTTCAGCTCACTGATGAAGAGAAATATAAAGACTGTGAAAGATTCAAGTTTGCCTGCCCGAAATGTGGAACAGAGAACCTTTATAGCAGTGTCTTTAATGGTTCGGTTAGTATTTTGGTTTTTATTTTAAGGGAATAGATTGTCTGACATAGGCAGAAGAATCCTTTCAAATTATGATTTCACGAAAGACAATTCTATCCTGATAACAAATCCATTTTTGTAGTTTTCTCAGAAGGAATTATCATTCTTTTTGGCCTTGCTAGCTCTGTATTTTCCAAAACTTTCCACATATTTATCATCTGAGAACAGTGCATTTAATATAGCCTGTGTAGTGACATCTAGTTACCCTAAATCACACTAATTGGCAGAGAGCATTTTTTATGAGCGCCTATTTTGTAGTTTTACATCCCTCTTTTTATATAGAAGTACTTCTGTGATATCTTTCCTGCTGTCTTTGTACATCAGACATAAAAAGTCATCGGGTACATTCCTGTCAAGTAGCGCTGCCAAAAATTTATCTGTGACCTTGGATCAGAACTTGAAATTGAGCCAACTATTTAACTCTATTGCAATGTTATGCATGTACTAGTTATTGGCAAATTAGCAAGCGGCGGAGCAGTGAAAACCTTGAAAGTTAAAGCAAATAAAATCTTTATCTAAATTAAAAGTAATTATTTTAAGTTAATTTGGACAAACAGCAGATGTTCCGTGTTCTTTGAATCAAAACAAAGCAGTTGCTGGAAGCAAGCGAGAGGAAAAGGCAGACACAGATCAGCCATACTTGGTAAATCCTTGACTTTGTTTCATTACAGCTGTAAATAAGATAGTTAATTGCATGGAAGCTTGACAACTTACAGATGGGCTAAGTGTAAGAAGAGCGGATGTCAAACCCTGCAATCTCTTCCACCTGGAATTGCTTAATGTTGTTAGTGCGGGATATGTTGGTTTAGATCACAAAAGTACAGATTTTTAAGCAGTAAAGGAAAGCAGGCATTAAATGTTATCAATGTAAAGACACTGAAAACCCTTGTTCATTTGCAAATCTTTCAGTATTTTCAGTCTGCTTATTTTTGTGGATTTTTATGCCTTCTCATTAAAACACCAAAAATACTAAAGATCAAAAAGGTCTGCTGTCTGCCTTCAGAATTTTTTTAAAAAACAGAATTATTATTTACTTGTGTTTCCACTTCTGTTCCATTCATATGTTTTTTGGCTGAGTAGCATTTTTAATTAGGATGTAATCCACCTTGGATCTGGTACAAAGGGAAAGGTGGAATAAAAATTCAATAGACAAACACAATGCCTGTACATAAAGCAAGTTGTAGTATTTTCAAATATTATTCTCGTATTATTTATTTTGTATGTGCAATTTATGTTTATAGGATCTGATGATTGAAGCCAGCTTGCTCCACTGTACCAAAAAAGAATGCAATGAATCACCTTCAAATTACTTGATGCAAATTAACAACAAACTAATTTTGGATATAAGACGTTATATTAAAAAGTATTACACCGTGAGTAACTTTGTTCTTTAGGTTATGTTTAGTCACTTATTTAAACAACAGTTTTTTCTGTCTGAATTCTTTTACTTCTGAACATATGATGTAATTCAGTTATAATGATCCTGGCCTAGAAAATGTAGGTTTAGTGAATTGACTCCCAGTCATCCTTCTCATTTTTTCTCATTTTCCTGGATTTAATAGTTACTTTAATTTCTTAACTATAGCTTCTTATGATGTCTGAATCAGGAAGTTGTTTCAAGGGCAGATTTCAAACCAGGATATGCAGCTAAGATCCCAAATTGGACTCCACCTGAAGCTATTAAGAAAATATGGTATTTTCATCGATGCCAGGTGAAAGAGAGTCCTAGTGATGAACAGGAAGGGCAAGGAAGTTGAGCTTGTGTCTGGTTGGAAAAATATGGTATATTAGACTTAAGATGGTGACACTAAACTAGGCACAAGTGTTTATATGTTAAACTTTTTCTGTACTTCAATTAGAAAAGGCATTTCCTAGTTTCAGTATGATTTTCTCATGGCAAGGAGTACCTTAAATATTTTCTTTGGATAAAATTGATGCTACATATTCAGATTTGTAGAGCACTGAACAGGATGCAAAGGTCACTCATCCATGAGGAATTTGTGCCAGAATTGCTACCTGTAAGCATTAAGTGTGATCCACATGGCCTGTGTATGATTTGTTAAGAGGACTTAAATCTTGCATTCATGCAAAAAGCAGCTTAAAAGGTTTAAAACTAGACAATTCGTGTCGTTAGGCCCAAACAGAAGAAAAAGAAAAAAGATTGAGAATGAAGAAGGAAAAAGAAAATCTGGACATTAGCTATAGTTTGAATGTTTGACTATGCTTTTCTCTAATAGGACATAGTTTTGTAGTATGCCTGGGACCTCCACCCCACCACTACTTGGGCTGTGGACAGATTAGTCTCTCCCATGCTTTTGCACTCCCCATGGATCAATGAGGAAACTCCTAGTAGCATAGGTCGCCTAATCAACACAGCAAGCAGTATACTCTCTGATTGCTGGTGTGTGTGTGTGTGAGAGATGTATGTATGTATGTATATATATATTCCAAAATTTATTGTAGTAATAGCATTAGTGGAAAAGATTGAAGCTTTATCATCCCCATTGTCGTTGCCCCCCGTCCCGCAATACAATTCTTACTAAAATTATGGTCTAATGAAATAGTCTACTTAATCCAGTACATGGACAGTATCAGAGAAAGCAACTATACTGCTTATCATTTCTATCATTATATAATGCAGCTTCCTTTCTCTGAATCGAAATATGTTGAAGACAAAATATCTGAATATATTTTATAAGGTAATGCTGTTGGGAAACAGCAACATCCAAAGTATTATGTGCACATAATTCCATTTAAAGAGGTTATTAAAATTTATATTGCAGAATGTACTTTCACTGTTGCTTTTTAAAATGCATTTACTTCTAACTAATATCACTTATTCAGTGATTTATAGAAGGTTCATTACCAAATGCTATACATGCCTTGTATAGAACTACATAGATGGGAAAGGGGAAAACATTTCAGGAATTTGGGTAGTTTAAATTGAGTTAAGGCAATGGACATTCAGCACATGTTTATGACAAGATATTTAAATTCTAATCTAATATACTGTAAGAGGTTTTTCTTTGTTACCTTTCTGGCAACACAATAACACATGATGTCCACCTAAAATATATGGCTACTTGTTTGCAATATATCCTGTGGTCTTCAGACAGCATGTTCAGTAGTATTGTACTGTAGTTATTAACATATAATAATAATAGTAATAATAATAATAATAATAATAATAATAATAATAATAATAATAACAACTTTATTTATATACTGCTCTATCTCCCTGAGGGGACTCAGAGCGGTTCCCAAGTAGCATCACAAAACATACAAAGTAAAAACCAGCATAACCATAAGATTAACAAAATAAAATATAAGCATAAAAATTGTCACCATAACACACATATATTAAAAGAATCCTGCCTGTTCAATGCAATTTAAAAATTTGAAAAGGCCGGGCCAAGATTTGTGCAAGCCCAAAAATTCTAGGGGCCCCAGGAATTAAGTGCAATGCTATGGCAGGCAACAATAATATTAGGTACGGGTCTGTGGCTGTTCATTCCAGGGCTGATTAGAGGAAATGATCTGGGTAATTGGTAGGAAGAATAAGGCCGTATTCGACAATGTGTAGGGCAAAGTTAGAACTGGTCATTTTCAAAGGCTTGTTGAAACCACCAGGTCTTCAAGCTCTTACAAAAAGAGGGGAGGGATGGGGCCTGTCTTATTTCCCTTGGTAGGGCGTTCCAGAGGCGGGGGCCACCACTGAGAAGGCCCTCTCTCTCGTCCCCACCAACCGTGCTTGAGACGGTAGTGGGACCCAGAGGAGGGCCTCCCTGGAAGATCTTGGAGTTCGTGTTGTTTCATAGAAGGAGATGTGATCGCGGAGATAGGCAGGGCCCGAACCGTTTAGGGCTTTATAGGTCATGACCTGCACCTTGAATTTGGCTTGGCAACTTATCGGCAGCCAATGAAGCTGTTTTAATAGGGGTGTTGTATGCTTTCTATAGTTTGCTCCAGTAAGGAGCCTGGCTGCCACCAGTTGTACCAGTTCAAACTTCCGGGCCATCTTCAAGGGCAGCCCCACGTAGAGCGCATTGCAATCTATAGTAACTTGCTACCATCTTACCAATGTGTTATCCTGTATGTGTTTAAGTTAAGCAATTACACAATTTCATAGGTATAATAATCAATAAAACACTATATAAGCCTAGTTCTTATATTTGCTTGCGCTCTTGTTGAAAGGAATGTGACATATCCTCTTGTTGTGTACTGCTAACTTCTAAGTCCCATAACCTAAACATGCATTATCCTAGGGAAGGATAGTTTTTATCATCTATTTTGACTACTTCACACATATGGTAAATATGTCCAGCCGATGCTTGTTTACTTTGAAATTATCTCAGACTTCGCTTTCCTACTACAAATTATTTTAGGTTCTTGTGGGTTTTTTCGGGCTATAGAGCCATGTTCTAGAGGCATTTCTCCTGACGTTTCGCCTGCATCTATGGCAAGCATCCTCAGAGGTTGAGGTCTGTTGGAAGTAGGAAAAATGGGCTTATATATCTGTGGAATGGCTGGGGTGGGGCAAGGAGCTCTTCCCTGCTGCAGTTAGGTGTGAATGTTTAGCTGATCACCTTCATTAGCATTTGAAGGCCTGCCTGAGTCTGGGAAAATCTGTTGTTGGGAGGTGTTAATCTGTGCCTGGTTTTTTCCTCTCTGTTGTTTAGCTGTTATAATTTTTGAGTTTTTTTAATACTGGTAGCCAGATTTTGTTCATTTTCATGGTCTCTTCCTTTCTGTTGAAATTGTCCACATGCTTGTGGATTTCAATGGCTTCTCTGTGTAGTCTGACATGGTGGTTGTTGGTGTGGTCCAGCATTTCTGTGTTCTCAAATAATATGCTGTGTCCAGGCTGGTTCATCAGGTGCTCTGCTATGGCTGACTTCTGTGGTTGAAGTAGTCTGCAGTGCCTTTCATGTTCCTTGATGCGTGTCCGGGCGCTGCGTTTGGTGGTCCCTATGTAGACTTGTCCACAGCTGCATGGTATACGGTTGGATTTTCTTGGTGGGTTTGTAGATTGTTTGTATGTTATGTTTCCTCATCAGCTTCCCTACATTGAACATCTCTACGGGGAGAAACTGTTCCAAGACACAAGGAAATTGGAGAAACTAAGGACCAGGAAAGCACTGTGCTCCCTGACTTTCCTTCTACGCTGCAGAGACACAGATACCATCCCACAATTTCTCGCAGCCAAAAGGACTTTCAAAACACCACAGGCTCATCGGATCTATGACCGCCTAGAACGCAACCTCTTACGAGAGAGAATTCACACCGTCCGCACCATTTTTCCTACTTCCAACAGACCTTCTCAACCTCTGAGGGTGCTTGCCATAGATGCAGGCGAAACGTCAGGAGAAATGCCTCTAGAACATGGCTCTATAGCCCGAAAAAACCCACAAGAACCTAGTGATTCCAGCCATGAAAGCCTTCGACAATACAAATTATTTTGTTCTTTCATGATGGTGCATCAAAATGCAGTATATGTTAATTGAAGGGGACCCATTTGAAGTGTACCTAGTGCTGCCTCAGTCTCTAACTTATACCCTGCCCGCTTTTCACACAATGTACTTTATTTGATCTTCAGAACATTTCTGTGAGGAGGATTAAGGTACAACATGATATCTCTATCAAGTGAATGCAGTGAGCTTTATGGCTGCCTAAGAATTTAAACTTGGATTTTCCCAAGTCCAATACATTCTGTATTTGACTGTGCTATACTGAGCTTCAGTGTGATCAAAATGAATGATATTCTGAAGCTAGTATTTGAAATCCACCCAGACATGCCTGATTGGCATATGCCAGGCTCAGAAATTATGGAATCATTACTATTGGAAACTTATGAAAAATAATATTGATAATTATGTTTTTCAGAACTTTGTCTTATCCTCATTCTTAGAAAGCTAACATTCTCTAAACCTTTAACAAATAAATTAGTAATTGCTCTTGTTTAAGCAATGTTGGGTTCAACTGCCATCTTCAAAGGCACTGGAGGCTGGATTTAATGGCACAAATGTAAGTTAGTTTAAGACCTTTGATGGAACCTTGAGTTATTTTCAGGGAATAGTGCCACAATACAAGAACAATAGGGCCTCTGTGACTGTAATAATGATACATGAGCAGTTTTCATCAGTATGCCATGGTTGTCCTAACCTTGTTTGTATCATGTCACCCTATGATACTTGCCCATGTAATGTATAAATCATGATTCTATATGGCAGTATGATATGCGTTTCCAAACAGTTTCAAAGGAAGCCCTGCATGGAGCTCAATGCAATAGTCCAAACTGGATATAGTCAAGGCATGTGTCACTCTCGCCAGATCTGATGTCTTAAGAAAGAGGTGCAGTTGGCACATTATATTT